TATGATTGAAAAATATATAAATCTTAAATTTTTGAGGTCGATATTTAAAAGCTTTCATAAGAAAGCCACGATTTTATTAATTATTAATAAAATAGTTATATAGAACTAAATTTTGATATAGTTATTGATATTATATAGCAAATAAATGAAAAATATAAAGACCAACCTTAAAGAAACCAATGAAGAGCACAAGAAAGGATTGATTGTAGTCAATTTTTACAATTTTGGTTCTCATTTTAATTATTTTGATTATTATGCTATCATTTTGATTTTGTACAATTTCGATTATATATATTATGTAATGACTACATGTATAACCCAAGATAGCACTAGTATCGAATAATGAAATCGTTTTGGTGAAAAATCATTTAATTTTTCTAAAAGTGTCTGTTTTTGGTGTATTATTAAATGGACAGAGATGTATAACTTTGTTAAGTTATACGTGCATTATTCATCTTTACACGAATTAGTCTTAGAAAAATTACAGAAACCTACTTAAATAGATACTGCCATACTTATCCTGAAATTTTCAATATTTTTTTGTTAAACAACATCTAAAATTAAACGAAGAAAATATATCTGGCGAAATAATTTCTTTCGTGTATATTTGTGAAAGCTTGAATAACGTTCGAGATTGTTCAATTATAAATTTTCAATATTCGAGGATTGAACTGGATTTAGTTGACATGTAAGACATAGCAAACAGTAACAATAATGTAATGTGTGTATTTAAGGATTAGTTTTTGGTACGTATTTTTTGCAGAGAGGTTTTATGTACACTAATATCACGTGTTTCAATAAAATTAACAAATTATTATTACACCGATGTGGATTACAACTTTTTTGTGTCGTTCTTATGCCGGATTAAAAAATATAAATCTTAAAACACAAAAATTATTATTTGGAAAGTTTGGTAAAAATAATATAATAAATACGTCGTATTATGTATAGAAACCATTGAAGGGAAAATAATTTTGTTTTAAGTTTAACAGTGTTGTAGTTCGAAAAGAAAATATTTTTAAACATAGTTGCACTCTATGTAAATGTATAAACACAAAAGTTTTCTTTTGGCCAAAAAATAAAATTCAGTTTGAAACTGTTTGAAAATACATTATAAATTTTTCTTAAAACTCTGAAAAATAGTAAGGATATAAGTGAAAACCATACAAGTGACGTATTTCCCATGGTTACATATACATAAAAGTAAAAATTTGTAACAGCCCCATACAAGTACAATGTAAGCGCAGGAAAGGTGAAAAATATTCACCTTTCTCCAGCAAACGAAATCGTTGGGCATAACTAACTAGAGTTATTATTATTATTTTTTGATCTTGGTAATTCGTCATGTGCCACATGCAAACTACACGTGCACTTCTACATCTAAGTAGAGTGATAAAATTTCACATTTAAAATCACATTGTACACTAAACCTTATTGTTGTAATCTACATTTAGTCAGCCGGAAAAAAATGAATTTAAAACGAACGGAATTATGGTAATTGTACGTGTGTTAACCGTAATAGTATTGTGGCAATCGAATCGTCTGCCGATTATTGTACACATGCCAATTGAAACTTTCTATTTCATTTATTGAATCGGGTTTTTATTATTTTTGCAGACAAAAAACTGATTGAGTATACTCTCGTATGTGATGTAATGAAGCTCGTATATAAAAATAACGAGTGCCGTTCACGCCCAAAGGCACAGGCGGCAACGATAACACAATCATAGTAATGACAAAATATATACTTCCTGCGTATGTATATGTATATAAATTTTGTTCGAGACAGTGGCACATGCGTGTGTGTGTATATATCTATACACGGAATAAAAGAGAGGATGACATAGGAAGAGAGCCCGCTGAGATTCGCAATCACAGACTAATGTCAAGGGAGCTGACGACGGTGACGAAGGGTAATGGCGCCTCGCCGACGGGCACACATCGAAAAATAAGCACTTTCCCCGGAATATCTAATACCAACACGTTTTATATTACGCCGTATTGGTACCGCGAATCGACTAGCGCGGCACAGGTTGACTTTACGGCATCGGACGAGAACGCTTAAGGGTAGCCAGAGTACACGGAACATCATATGAAAAGTGTTTGTCTTAGGTGGCAGAGAAAAAGTAATTAAAATTTGCACCACGTCATAGTGTTCGGATGAAGTGCCGACTCGCATATGAAATAATCACATAAATCTCTACCGCATACTTAACCGGCGGCGGAGGCAAAACTAAGCTGGCGACTAAAGTGCGGGGATGTGTCCGGGTTGGCTTGGCTAGACTAAGGAACGTAATGCGAAAAAGTAAGAAAAGTCGTTAAAATAAATAGCGGAAACCGCAAAAAAAAAAATATATCAAGCTGAGAAAGAGACAACAAATGTCTAAAGAGAAGAATTTCATTTTGAAACGTAAAACCTGTTTCATTATTCAAAAGTCCAGCTTATACCTACTGGTGAAATAAAAAATAGTCTGCTCCGTCAAAACATTATTATATTTTTCCTAACCTATTCGAGACCAGATAGGTAATTATATTTGATTACATTACTTTGTACAGAACGTTTATTTATCTGATTTCATAATGCCACGACAATAGTTGTTGAACAAATGGACAGAAAAATATAAACAGTTTCTTTTCTTTATTTATTTAACATTTATTTCGTCTCAATTATGGTTGGACGAATTGCATAACAACAATATTGTTTTTGTTGACTACCATTTTCAATTATAATTGCTTTTCAGGCTGAATTAATTTTCCATGCTGATTGTTGACTGTTGGTCAACAATGAATTTAATGTTCTTTAATTAAATATGTTTTTTTTTATAAATATTAGACTAAAAAATTGCGTTTTAGAAAACTTTATTTTCAAAAAATTTAACTTTAAAAATATTTTATTAACATTTTTTATAAGCTAAATAGAAATATTTATTTTTTTTAGACATGAAATTTTTTTCAATTAATAATTTTATTTAGTATTTTTCATGAAACTAACTAATTTTAGCACTAGATTAATTAGTTGTTTTAAAAAATTTATTTTTGACCATAAAAGTTTTTTACTTAATAATCAACTTATGGAACCTTTATATGTAATAGTGGCATGCCCAGTGAGCATGGAACCCATAAAATATTAACTGTCAAAAATAGAAATTTGATAATGTTATTTTGGTCAATATCAGAAATCGGAACTTAATGCATTTATGAACTTTGATTGGCCATATCTGAGACTTCGTAGAAAAATATCATAAGTGTATACAGTACTCTGTACAAAGTATACAGTAATATATTATGTTTTTTTGTGGGGAGTGATTCCCTACATTCCCAAAACTAAATTTCTAATATATGAACATTCTTTAGTATTAGAAAAACTAACTTGAATATCTATTTATCATTGTTGTGCTCGGATCACTAAAATAAACTTTATAATTGGGCTAAGTTCTAAGACCGGGTCATTATTTAATAATTAACGAAATAAAAGTCATCAAAAATACACTAGAGAGGGTAGGGCACCTGTATAAGTACAAATTATTGTTATTATAACTGAAAACCCTTTCCTAATTTTATCCTGAACACGCGTCTGATACACAACTGTACTTGTATTTCAAGAGAAGCTCAGCTTAATTAATATTAAAAATAGTATTAAATAGCAACAAAAGCAAACGAATTTCTAGAGAAAACCGTCTAGACTAGAAAAGTTTTCTTCATTCATCAAAAAATTTGGATTTTGTGGCAAGTTATGATTTTCAAAATACTGATTATATTTTATAATTTTTGTTTCAATCGAGAATAATAAAATTAACATTAAAAAAAAATAGTTGGTTTTTGCGCACAAATTCCTTCAATTATAAAGAAATCAAGTCATTTTGTTAATCTTATTGCGAGAATGAATAATGAAAAATCTTATTTTTCCATTATATTTTTTTCCATTCTTGGAAATATTAACAAGAATTGTACAAAGTATCTTTTCAACAACTTCTTCTTTATGACGTGCACTCTGCATTTTTTGCTAATTAATAAAAATGGAATCGAGTATCTAGCTAAGTTTTAGGTAATGAAGAATAAAATGTTCTATACAATATAACTTTTAAATAAACACAATAAATGAATAGTCTAAATATTAAGTAGCTAATAAAAGTCAAATCACTTAGTGTATTATGGTCGAGGTGTACGTTTTTGTAACTTTTCTGTATAACTTACTTAGATAAGATAATAGCTATTCATATTTGTAGAACGTTTAGTAATACACGTGTAAGAAGACAAAACCTCTTGAAATTCTATAATCATAACACCATTGTCATATAATGCACAAATTGCTGTTTGAATTCATGTATTATTAGTTACCTTGCATATGATATTGTAGATTAAGATAAAAAAGGAATCGCGACTATAGGAGATGTATGTGAATAGAACTGAAACAAAGCTGATTATATAAGGCCAACTTGTCATGACAAGTCAATTACCTTCTATCGTCTTATCCGTTTTTCGTTAATTTTAAAATTCAGTAAAACGTGTTAAAATTATTGTTGGAAATAACAATAATTTTCTTTAAAAAATGTTTTTTTAATCGGAAAAAGAAATCTTTGCAAATAACATTCGATCGATAGTTAATTTATAAGAACAGTGTAAACCATTTTGTATGTATATAAGTTATATTTTTCTGAGTGAAAAAACAAATATAATAACAAATAATGTTTACTATTAGATACTGATCTATTGTACTATGTCAATGGATTAAGAAGTTAACAACTGTAAAAGTTGAACACATTTTAACTTGTGCTTTGCGTTGAAGAGAAAACTTTATTATTTTTCTCGGAAAACTGCGTTTATGTACTCAAGAATACTTAAACTTTGAAGACAATTCCTTTTTTGATAAAAACGTTTTATTTTGACCTTTTCTCTAATAATAACTCAATGTGTACCCTATTGATGCAATAATGTCAGGAGCCATGAAATATTTAGTAGTTTTAGGATAAATTTATGACCATTTACTTAGGCTCACTAACCGTTATACTCGTGTGCACGGTAGAAAAGCGGTTGTGGGTTTTTGATGGCCGACGACATCCCCTGAGAAAATGAAGAGAGTTCTATAAAAATATTTTTTCTTAATCGTTTTATGTTTCAGTCCATTATTTACTCAAGAAACTACCAATACTTGTAAATAAGGGTAACGATTTTCATTAAAACCTAAAACAAATATTTATTTCCATTAAAAACAGTTGTAGCAGTGTGCAACACGCGTGTTAATGAAACACCGTATCTAGTGTACATGGCAACGGTTAAGATGTTGTCAGAACCACTCTAATATTTAATTTGCGTTCTACATACACGCGTGCTAACCCGAAACTGCACGTAGAGGTTTAGCGCACTGGATATTTAGTTATTCGCAAATTCCAGGTAACGGATTTCACAGTTGAATCCAGTGAACACACAATAAATCGACAGCGAACTTATTGTATGCGTTATTCTCACCAGAATAGCACCCACTCTAATCTATACGGTCGATTAGAATGGACTGAAACGTTTTTGAAAACGTACGTTATATTTAGAGTCGATAGAATTATTTGGCAAATAAAATATTCACGAGCTCTACATGGAATAGTCCTCTGCTAATGATGTAATACTCAGCAGCATAAATACTGTTCAACTCACAATCGCTTCGAGAGATGAAAGGGAGAAAAAATGTATTCGTCTTTGTAATTCAAAATGTATTCATAACGTCCAAGGGCATAGTATACTGCAAACGGTGGCTAAGAGAGCTGATAAATGAACTTAACGGTACATGAAAACAGCCGTAGGGTGGTTGCATCCGGCAAAATTTAACTTTCTGGTTTGCTCTCGATTCACATAGGTAATCGGATTAAGTAGGAAATACGGTGAAACACAAACAACGCATGAATCATGATGGATAACTTTTTGTTGTTGAACGTGACACGTTTATGGATCGGAAAAGTTTATCTAACGCGTTGTTTTTATGTACTTAACTCGAGATACCGTGTACCTGTTGGATGCGAGGTACATAATTGTCAACGGATAAACTGTTTTCAATTACCTGTTTGCTGCAAGTGGTCCCGCAAATGCCGTTGAACATTAGGTAATCCTACTCGGACCGGATACGCAGAGCACCTTCAGTGGCGATCATAATTTCATCCGAGTTTCATACCAACAGATGCATGTACGCCGACATGGCGGTTACGGCGTTAGCAGTACGTGCAGCAGTCGAAAGCGACGTGTGCGGACTGCTATACGGTTTTCGGCCGTAAACGCTGCCGCCGTTCGCGAGCAACGCGTGCGCAAAGCTGTGCAAACAGGTGATTTCGACGCTACTGCTAGCCGTTTCTATTTACTGATGTATAATTCTTATCATCCAATTACAGTCACGCAATCATCAACTGAACTCTATGTATAATTATAAAACTTTAAAAGCATGAACTACAAAAATGAATAACATTAACACTATCGATTACGAAACAGCATAAATAATCAAGATAAAATGCGTACTACATTAAATTCGGCATTGAAACAGCTTTCAGATTATTGGGAGTATGATTCGACGGCAACAGAATATTTTTAGGTACCGTTGATGAAACAAAAAAAATTAATTAAACGACAAGTTCAAAATTACTCATAACTATGCAACAGATTCTCGGTGTATACTTTGTATGGACATTAATAGGAAACTTCAAATATAAATACTCTAACTTTAATTAGTTTTTAATAAACATAATAATAACTGAGATATTATTAAAATTTAAACGTTTAATTTTAGATAAATATTAAGAGGACAATCATGAAGACATTTTAACGCATATAAACAACATTTTTAATGTTTCTGCTTGGATATAAACTGGTCTATTAGATCACCTGCCTATTCTCTCTAAATTAAAGTATGCCACCTACTGACCATTTTTAAAGTTTAATAGGTGAACTGCTATATTTTTTTTATAGTTCAGTGTAATATGTTTACTTTTATGTGGTAATAAATATTAAGATAACGCCAAACCACCCTCTGTCCAGCCTGTTGTAACTCTTAAACATGTCTACACAAAATGTATTTTACTCTTAAAATGTAGATTTTAGAGAGAAAAAAAACACTTATTACAAAGTTAAAAGAGGATAAACTTTTGAATTGAAACAACACATAGCCATTTATCAATATTCTTTGTACTCTGCCAGTTATGAATGAAAAAGTTATTCTTTTTTTTTCGTTAGAAAACTTTTTAACTGAAATTATTTCATATATAAAATATGGTTTATATCATGGCTCAAATAGGGAAACATTTTTTTTTTTGTAGAAATTAACTTTTCTTTTTCATGTGTATTTATTATTTATGCGAAATTAGCTACGTGTTTTAAGAATTTAAAATTTTAAAAAGGCCTTTTATGTACACATATTGATAAGTAAATATTTATAATTTCTTCTAATTCTGTATGAATATTTTTTTTTAATAAAAAGAGAACAAGTAAAAAGTATTTTGCTAGAGAAGGTCATAAGAATGAATTACGGTGTCCTTATAATTGTAATTAACTTTGATTCAATATTTATATGAAACCTATAAATAAAATAATACTACTAAACGAACATACACGTCAATTTTTTTCCATAAAATAAAAGTTAAATATTTATTTGCAATTTTAAGTAATAAAAAATTATAATACACTTTTAAGTTACTTCCTTTCAGTTATATTTTATTTCATTTATTTTTATATTTTTATTGAATATTATGTGTCAATTTTTAAAAAAATTAATTTTTAGTTATTAAGCTTTTTTGATTCCAGATTAACCATATTGAAACTTACTAATTTAAAGTTCTCTAATCATACATCTACTAGACATTTACTATCTTTTAATGATTAATTAAAAATTATTTTATAAATTAATATTTAGTAATTTTCAAATGAATATTGTTCAACGTAATAATATTATGAGCTTTCAAAAGTTTAATTTCCTTCATTTATCATATAATTTTCTTTATTAAATAGGCCACACAGTTCTAAAATTGTAGGTTCTTCAATAGTCAACACATGGTAACACTTAACAAATATGAACTCTAACATTAATGGCTTTTACTAAAAGTTATAATAATATTACGAATAAACCATACTTTGAAATCAAATCATTTTTCCATCAACACATCTACGCAATCTTTTATTGAACATGTTTTAAACGATGTGTGTCGAGAATCTTAACACATTGTTTCAAATCCAAATCTCAATTTGATTACACAAAGTGAATAGTTTAGATTTTTAGTTTTATAATCTAATTAAATATTTATGACATCAGAACAGAAATTTATCGTTTTTAATCAAAAGAAAAAATTATGGTTTATCAAACAAATATATATATTTATTTTAATTTCTCAACACTCAAGTGTTGATTTATGCAATAGAGATTTTTTTACAAAGAAGTAAACATTTTATCTACTATTCAGAGCTGAAAAGGTATTAGTCTAGTAATAATGTGTTTTTCGTGTTAGTAAACATTTTTCAAGGTAGTCTCGTGATCATTTGTTACTTCAAAAGTAACACTTTTTGGAGTTACAAAAGTAACTTCAAAATTGTATGTTGGTGTCTTAACATATTGAAAGTTTTCCTTCGCAAATAAAAAAAAAACCTCAAAATTATTGTTACTACTAAATACTTACGTTATTAACATACAATTTTTTCATTATTTGTTTATATTGTAAATAAAAGTTGTCAAAACGAAAATAAATAATTTATTAACACAATTTATTTCAAACAACACATTATGATTCTTCTTTTTATAAATCTGACATGCAAAGTATTTTTACAAAGTAATTCTCATTAACACGTAATACTTTTAATTTGTTTGATATTGTTAAGTTAACGTTTAATAAATGTTTTTGTTAAACCTAATCAAGATACTATCAATATATGTAAGGAACTTTTAAGATGGAATTTTCAGAGCCCCGATATTTTTCTTTTATTTTGCATCATGTGTTGTAAGACATAACCCTGTCAGTTCTCATCAGTAAACAAATGAGGACACTGCAGTACAAATACAGCCGTAATTTAAAACTCATTACCCAAAATATAATAATAATGTTTTTACTGAACATTTTTTTCTGACTTTATGAAAACTAAAATTAAAGGCTTTTTGGATGTCTATAATTACTTTTAAATGTGTGTCATTTGATTTATTTTTAAACTAGGCTAAATTTTTAACTAGAATTATTTTCTGTTAAAGATGTAACAACAAAAATATTTAAGCCTAAATTGATTAAAGTACCAACCTAACTAAACAAGATTTTTATTTAATATAATAATAACAAATTTGCGTTTTCAAAAAAAAAAAAAAATAGATATTATATTTATATTTTAATTATTTCTTTATTTAAACTAAAAACATAGGGATAGTATTTTAACAAGTTGAACTATAAAAAATACACATTTAAAATAGGCTCTTGAAATTATACTTTTATCGTAATCGTGTATTGCATTTTTTTTGTTTTGCCCAATACATAGAATGGTGTTTTTGTATAATTGTAATAGTTATCCAAGTTTATTTTTTATCTATTTTTTATAATGAGATACTCTTCAGTATCAAATTATGTAATTTAAAATGACTTACTAAATAAAAGATTTATTCAAAATTTGATAAAGGAATAGTTATTATTCAAAGATAATAATAACAAGTGGGCAAAAAGTTGAAACTTCACTATTTGTTATTTTTCAATTAAATAAAAAAAACAGTATTTTTTATTTTTGTTTGTGTATTATTAAATAAACTTTGGTTATAAAGGTCCTAAATTTTTATTGCCTTTACATTTCTATAATTGAAAAAAAAAAAAAATAATTTCTATAAAAATAATTTGTCTTATGTAAATAATTTCGATTATTAATTATTTATTTTATATTGATGAACCAAAAAATTTTAGTTGTGTGGACGCTAAATATAAAATTATATTTTTAAAATATCATTCTTCTCTTTGTTGAGCAATAACTCTTAAAAAATGTCTATGATAAACACATTCCTGGGATGTCTAGTTTTTATACTAGATTAATTAAATTTGAATATAAAAATTTTAAATTAAATAATAATGAAGTAATATGTTATATTATAGAAAAACATTATCTTTATCTATACCTTAACCAGTTAGTAGTTGAGTATTTTCAGGTAATACGACAATGAAAATATACTGATGGTTACTTAAATACACATCTCGAAATAAAATATTAGATCTAATCATAATTTCATTTTTTTAACAATATTGATTCTACGTTTGGCTGCTTTATACGGAAAATTAATTTTCCTCGACCATTCCTTATACCATAAATAGTTTCAAAATTTGATTTTTTTATTATCAGATTTATTCAGTTAAAAAAATAATGTTTTTTTATTTTTTTTTTACATTATTCAATTTTCAATGAGTCGTAGCTGTTAAAATAACCTGACCTACGGTTGATCATATTGTTGTTGGATTGGCGTTATTATTCACGTTCGTTGTTGTTTTCTTTTATATTATCGTTATTCTAAGTTCAGTGACATTCATATAAGTACATGTTAGTTATAAAAATGAATATCCACGACCGAACGTGTAATGTCAAGAACACACTACACGTTCTCTTGGATTTTTTTAAGTTTAAAATCAACAACAACAAAATAACGAAAATAACTTTTCGTAACTTAAAATTTGTCGCATCCAAATTTTTGCTTGTCATAGTAAATTAATTACTCATCGAACGCTATCCCAACTGGTTATTACGATAACTTGATTATGTTGCAAAAGTTTTCAATCATAGAAAAGTGTAAAACTACACGGTTTCCTTTGAATAAACACAACTAAAAATCAAAATTTATACAAAATTCTATAATAAATTTACTTGGAATATATTTAATACACAATATTTAAATTACACATTGATGTTTTAATTATAATTATACTTCAAGTCTTAACTAAAAAATCTTAATTTTCACTATTTTTTTAAATCGTTTGATGTCTAATTAACCTAAGTATTGTTAAAAATAAGTTTTATTTTATACGCCCCGATAAGTAAGTTTTTAAACGTTATGTTATTGATATTTATTTACTATTTTCATAAATATTTCAAAAAGTAAAATGGTGACATTGACTTAAAAATTTATACAGAAATTATTGAACATCTATCGTTTGATAACATTTTGTAAAGAACTTATTTAAATAAGTAATTTTTATTATGTGACATAATTTATAAACTGTATTACTTCTGAACATTTTAGCTTCGATGCGAAGCTGAGAAGGTATTGGTTTTACTAAGATGTGTTTTTTTTTTTTTTTGTGTCTGT